AATAGATAAATTATATATAGGAGAAATTATATTTTAACTATTTATAATTTGAAATTGGTGCACATAAAAACTTTATATTTTGAATTATGTATATAATATTTTTATGGTTTGAGGTGGATGCATAAAAAAACTTAAGATTTCAAAGTGTGCATATAAATACTTGAACTTTGTATTAAGTGCACATAAGTACCTAGGGTTACATAAAATGTATGTAGTTGCATTTGGGATTAAATTTTCATATTGTACTTCATAAATGTTAACTTATTTTGATTAAATCAACTTTAATTATTGTTTTGTATAATTTAGTGGTCATATAAATGTATAAAACTCTTTTCGAATTAATTATCAAATAATAATATAAATTTTCTTATAGTATAATACTAAGAAAGTCACAATTATAACACTTCATTATAATTCTAAACACAACCTTAAATACCTTTTTTTTTCTTTATTTTCATTCATTTAACTTGAAAACTTTTAAGACATTTCAAGAAATTTTAAGTTATTATTTGTACCAAATGCAAATCTCAAGCATTTATAAACATCAAGTTTTTATGTGTACAGTTACCCTAAATCAAAAGTACTTAGATCATAATATCTCCTTAATATACTATAAAATTTTTTGTGGCGTTAACGATTCTTTGTGTGTGCAAAAGCAACAGCCTGATCTTGGTTTTCTTTACAATTCAAAAACTATAAAATTATAAAGCATTTTATTATTATTTCAAAAGTTTCAAATTTCATATAATTGGTGTAGTACATACCACGCACAAAACAGCAACAAAGGCTGGAGAAAACAGCCAACAGCACAGAACCGCGCCGTTCGCCTTATGTTTACCTACTCCGTGCCTCACACGCCTGGCTTTTGTTTTTTTCTGTTTTAGCCTCATGTTTGCTTATGGTTATGATTACCATTAATTTTTTTATCATCACTAAAATTATCAAAATTTTAATTTAATTTAATTATTAAAACTAATTAATAATTAATAAATTTGTTAATATTTATTATTTATTAAATTAAAATTTATTTATAAATAAATATTTTCAAATATTATAACTGATTATTTTAAAAATTATAAACTAATAAAATTATAATTAAATTCAATACTTTTAACAAAATCATCAATCACCATCACCTCAGCACTCATGTTTTTTCCATTTTTAGTATAATAATAGTGCAGCGTTGAGAAATGGAGTATGGGCCGCGGCCAACATTTCCTTCCGGTATATTTATTCTAGCAATCGATGGACAAGACCAATGCTTTTAAATAACAGCACTTTGGGTTAGTTCCAGTCCAGCCCACTACAAAATACCCAAAGGAACCATTAAAAAAAAAAATTGCGGATTACCAAC